TATCTCTTCTGCTGCTTCGCTCCCTGGAGACTCTCAATAATCCAAGGAATTCTCCTGAACTGGTCAGGAAGAGGCCACCCAGGTACAATTTCATCCAAAGCTGCAGCTGTCCAAGTATTCCAGCTGGAGACCAATACCTCAGCATAGGGGCTTGGGAATCTCACCAAGCACTCTCTGGAAACCAAGTGGATCCATTATGTGCTTGGGCCAGGCCAATCAAATAGATACATCCTCCCTATTTGGTAGTGCTGGTCAGCTCCATAGCAATCAGAGTGTTATCTGACCACATTAAAAGGCATATGTTAACATCTTCTACATATCACATTTGTTCCAAGACAACCACAGGTCTAACACATGACCTCCTACATGAACAGGGGCTGTGACTCATAGATTATCCATATATTCTAGTATCATTTATTCTGGTTGTAGCTCTCCAGTATCTTTGGCAAACAAGTTTCTACATAATAGCTGATCTTTTAAAAAGTAAATAAAAATGAACCATGTTGAATGAACAGTTCCTTTTGTTTTCTAAAGAAGAAAAAAGAAAACTCCTCAGCTCTCAAAGTGAGCAATACAGGCTATGAGGTTAACCTAAAAACAAACCTAGAGATTACAGGCCTAGTTGTCAACTGGATACTCTCTTGGATATCCTTTTATGACGGGTCTGATTTAATTACAGTGCAAGTGTCATATGTCTGTTGCATACCACAATTAAAAAATCTTGAGATAAGCTACTATACCATACCATTTTTACTATCCATATCTATACTGCTACTACCTCTTCAGTTCAGAAGACTAAAGTTATCCTTAAACACAAAGGGCTGCATATTTTTTTTAATAACCTATTATTCTCTCAGCACCAGCAATGTATGTCAAGTTCTGCAAAGTTTTCTAAGCAAAAGTTATTTCCCCCCAGGAAGATTACTGTCTAACAACTGACAGTAAGAAAATCAAGGTAATACACGCTTTGGAGTGTCACTCTTTCATTCTTTTATATATGAGTTCTTTTTTCTTTTTGCCAAATGCATGGTTGTGTTTTTCCTCTTCCATGCAGCAAGTGCAAGCACCCTCCTAACCTCAAAACTTCTTCAAATCGGAAGAACTACAATGTTTTTCTTTTGATAGAATATAAATTAGGGTTGTGTGAATCAAATGTTGTAACATAAATGGATAAGAAATACAGGGCACAAGTTGTTCATCTTAATATTAACAAACATGTTAAAAAGCCAACTGAATGATACATTTGTATTTATTCCTTCAGATATTGCATTATGCACATTTCTGATTTCTGGTCTAAGACCATAATGAAGTATTTGTTGTTGTTCATGCACACAAGCAAGAGCCAGCTTCCTCCTACCTCTTCCGTAAAACATTTATCATGGCTTGTCTTGGCAAGCAAACATGTATTTTGAAGGTTTATTCCAAAGATCTGACTTTTATCCTCCAAACCAGTCGATGAACAGCAAAAACTAAGGACTTCTGACTTTTTCTGTTGTTTTTTTTCTTGTGAAAACCAGAAAGCACCAAAAAGGGGACCTAGAGAAAAGAAATTGGATAGAATGATAACTGCAAAAGTGTGAAGTTACACAAATGATAGAAATGTTCAATATAAGCAACAGGATAAGCTTTCATCTATATACACACACATAATTTCTTTCAGGATTTCTGCTTACTACATAAAGTATTTACTGCAGAATTTATTAGTCAGACTATAGCTAACAGCTCTCAAAGCAGGGCAATATATGACAAACACACACACACATCAATCAAAATAAAAAGAACAAAACAACCAGTTTTGGGGGATTTTTCTTAATTAAACCCTGCTCTGTTAAAAGATCAAAGAATCAGGAAGTAAACATTACCAGATATCTCCTCTTTCAAGGGAACTGCCTTTCTTTGGAAGAGTTCAACATCATTCAGCCCACCAGATTAGAATTCCACAAAATAGATACCAGAGCTCTAGAAGCTCCATTATTTATGCCATTTGATCTGGTAACTTCATCCTTGTTTGTTCCTCATCAACTGCTCCAAAGAATTTTTTCAGCCTGGCTCATCTGACCAGTGAGGCCTTGACCATGACAGCGATCCAGAGGGAACAGGAAACACAAATCACTTGAGCAGCTTCTCTTCACACATAGCATTCAAAATAAAACACTTGCATTTTTCTCTGCGAAGGAGAGTCTACCTATACACAGCCAGCCCTGTCCTTAAGCAAAATGAGACAACCGCTTCATGTGGGAGAAGCCGAGGACCAGTAAGGCAGTCCCCTGGCCTGCCATCCTGTTCTTCCATTCTATCATAATTATGGTGAGGTTAGAAAGACCTGTGTATCCCACTGTTTATTCTTAGCTCCCTAAACTAGCCTGCTGCCTCACGTATAGAGGTGAATGCTTATCTCACTCAGTCTCGGAAGCAAGATCCTGTCAGTTTCAGTGTGTGGACTGGGAAGGGAGCACCATCTTGTTCCTTGTGATCTTTCAAGTAGGTCCCATCGAAAAAGACAAGCTTTCTTGAACACCTGCATTTCTAACAATTACAGGCCAGACTGACACTTTCCATGACTTCCCTAAGCAAGGAAGAGCCAAAGCAACATCAACTAGAGCAACAGCTGTGAAACTGCCAGGCAGCCAGGTTAACCTTCTGAACCTGCAAAAGATCTGCTACTAAGCTTACTCAACATTCCTTTGCTCTGCCTGAATGGCTCTGGAGGATGCTTTAGCCAGTTCAATGCTGCAGGCCAGGGCTTCAGACCAGGGCAAGCTAGAAATGCGAGGAACATACAAGGGGGTAACTGTCTACATACTACCTGCACTGGACTAAAATACCAAGCTGAGCTGATCCTGTCTTCTGGCCACAGATATCCTCACTGTAATTGTCAAGGATGTATCCAAAAACACAGCCTTGAGTAGTAACATTTAAAATACTTATCTTTTCTTTTGCAACATGCCTTACAGACGTACAAGACTGAATTTTCAGTATCAACCTGACTCCAGTTGGCATTTTCAGATGCATTGGAGTATAACTAACAGCTAATTTCCAGCTAGGATAGCCACTGGCTTATAGTGATGGGAACTGTAGTCCAACACATCTAGATGATGCTTGACCATGGAAGGCTGCTTTATGGCAACAAAACATCTGTAATAGCAGTACTGTATAGAAAAGGAAATAGACATCTGTTATGTTGAAGGCTGTAATTCATGGGAGTTTCTTCTCCTGATCCCATCATTTGCTTTATGTTTAGGAGTTATAATGCACAATTAGGAGTTCCTGTGCTCACACACACACACAAAATTCATATTCAGTTCAATGAAAGGAGATTCAGATTTGCAAAACTTTTCAGAGATCTTGGCTCCTTGAGGAAAAGTAGAATACCTGCTTTGCACACTGATAATCTATCCCAAATTCTCTCTTTCACATTTCAAGGATTAGGCAAGAAGTGATATGAAAGATCTCTATGTCCAATAGCTGTGAGAACTGCTTTCTAAATAGCCAATCCTGGACTAAACACAAATTATCTGACCTGGCATAAAGTTCTTATATTTCACATGAATTGAAAGGCAAGTGGAATTCAGGACTAGACATGTTCAATGAATTCCAATTTCAGTGCATGTGCTGCCAAAGCAAAGAAAAACTTTTCCACAGGTTAGATTTATAGATACAGCATCTATGATTCTGAAGGGCAGATAGAATCACATTCCCCTAAAAGATAATCTCTTTCCCTCTTTTGAAGGATCAGCAGGGTTAGTTCCACATGTCTTATTACATTGTTCCAGGTATCAGTTATGGCACTCCATATTTATACTGTTCCTGCTAGCTAGCTGATTGGATCAGCCAAATGAGGAAAATGTATATTTCCTGCTTGTGGGCTGCTCTCGTAAAATCTCTGAGAAGGTCACCAAGTATTGCTGTGTGACAACTGCTATAATGAGGATGTGGATCTAATGTCTGACTTGTTGAATTATCTAGGTGTTGCTGCATACATTGTTAACTAAATTATTTTCTGTCTAAAAGCATTTTATGACATATACCCTGTACTCTGCCAAATATTTTAATTAAAAAAATTTATTTTATAGTCCTCCCATTCCAGTTAAAATGATGTTGGCAGAGTCTTATTTCTTAATATTACAACCATATAAAAGTGTCACCAAAGCGGAACTACAAACCTGGAGTTATGTTTTCAAACAAAAGCACAGAATGGGGCATGTGAACTAAGGATACACAACTTTCTGTGTCTTCACATTCAGTCACACATGGTTTTCACCACCTCAGAGGCTAGCTACATACAGCACAGAGCTCTAAGGGAGGACTGAAATATCTACAGCTTTTTCCAAGACAACTTATTACAAACTGATTCTCAAAGGATATACAAGCAGAACTCTTAGTAGCTGGGGTGCATGTGTGTACATATTATACCATTTACCCATAGAATGCCTGAACAGCTGGGCTCCTGGACAGCTGTTCAGCTGGGTTCCTGGACAGTCATTCAGACAGTCATTCAGCCAATCCTCACTTGGCCACAAAGCTTCTTGAATACCCTTGGGCCAGTCAATTGAACCTATGGTGAGGGAAAAGAAACACACATCTGTCCTCTCCTGTGATGTCTGATTTAGCACTATTGCAGAATACAAACTCCAGTGCAACCATCACTACAGGCCAAATATTGAATAGTTTGGCAGCTTTCACCACATTATGGAAGCTAAGCAGGAGAAGGATCATACTTCTTTGGCAGGACACATGGTTTGGATGCCAAAAATCCTGAGTTTAATTCATAGCATCACTACGTAGAACTTTGTATAAGTGTGAGCCTGCCCCAAAGCATGAGCTTGACCAGTGTCTGCATGAAGTATTCAAAAAGAATCAAAATCATACAAGCAAAAGGTATAAAACCTTGCTAATCTAATTAACATTTTTTTAAAAAATCATTAATTCTGATCAAGAGGAGAATAAAAGCATATATAGTTATAGTAGACGTACCTGTGAATCTGTACCTGTATCTCCCATCCTATCCTAACTCCTACCCAGCTCACAAGTCCATATGGTTGTATACATTTACACAGATTAAATTTTACTATGGAACAATCTTAAAAATAATTACTTTGAAGTAAAGTCCCACTGATATGAACCAAAGACACTTGACAGGATCAGACTACAAAACTCTCTTTTGATCTTCTTTCCTCATCCCTCCTGCCATGAGTTCCTCCTTTCAACAGTTCCTAACTTTTTCTGTGTCTTAGGACATATTTCTCTGTCCAAGAATGGAAGGAGACAACATCAGGATTGTCACAATCTTGAAAGAGATAAGATTATCCATCGTAGAGAGGTACTATTAATGTTCTTCCCATCTTTGACATCTTTGGTTGAACAAAGCTTGCAACTCTGAAGCATAACAGAGTTTGGGAACAGAAACTGTACCGGGGAATTATCTGTGCACTTCTTGCAAAAACAGCTTTTCCCTTTGATCTTCCATGCCAGAGGAAAAAAACTCTAGTCTGTACTTCAATACTGTTCAAACCTTGTTTTACTCATTCCTTTGCTACTTCCAACATTTTCTCTATTTCTGCTTATCTTTACTTAACTAAATTGCAAATCTTTCAGGTACTTCTATATCCTGTCTAGTATCATCCATTTTTCATCCTTAATGGTGTTTAGCAGCAGTTGTAATAGCAGATGGGGGGTTATTTATACAATGTTTCACCAGAACTCAGCCTCAGACTGAAATATAGCCCCAGATTATGTGAAGAATGAAAAAAAAAAAAAAGAACCCTTGAGCATTAACTGTGACATTCTGCGGAAAGAAGATTAAAAAGAAAGTTATGGTTTCCAGGAATGCTCAAGACTGGCTAGTTTTTTTTACTTTAAGTAAAACATACTAATAACAATGATGGATCTGGTCTGAAAAACCTTGCTGAGTATAGCATTTATTAGTAGCTATAAGGGGTTACTCTTAAGTTCTTACTCAGAAGTAAGCTCTGCTCCATTAAAAGAGTTTTATTTCCAAAACATTGTGTGCAACCTTGATGGCATAATATTATTATGGGAAAAGAAAGCAAATTTCCCCACCTTGTCTGTATTTAAAAGCTATAAATGAAATATATACATACCTACTGCTGGATAAGAAAACTGGAGCACAAAAAAAGACTGGAGCACAGAAACCCAGACAGTAATCTATCTGCTACTTCCTTGCCTACTATTGCACACACACACATACACACACACACAGAGGGGAGAAGCCACCCGTTTTAGGACCAGATCCTTTAATAGACTTCATCCTGTGTACACACACAATTCGTTTCTGAGAACTATAGCTGCATTCCCCAATGAAGACATGAATTCAACGTTCATGTAGCTCCATCTCGCAACTTTTTAAAATGTTAAAATATGACTCTACACTTGCCCTAGCTGAGGCACAGAATGACCCCCCTCCCACCCAGAACACTCCAGGCATCAACCTCAGGATGGTCAAGTAACACTCAAATGCAAAGTAGACCACTAGGTTCCACTGCATTTCAGAAGGTAACTGAGAGCTGGGTTCAAGAAAAAGAGAATCCACAGGGAAGTAACATTTTTGCATATGATTATTCTTGTCCTTCCCCACTTATTCCAAGGGGGGGGGGGAATCGGTGTAATCTCGTCTTCGTTCTCGCTATACACGGTGAAGTACAGTACTATAAGCATGATTCCAATAGCTAGTTCCGGTTGTGCGGTCCAAACTTTTACCCGCATGGTCTGTCTTTAAGTCCCATTGTGCTCAATAAGACTAACGATCCTATAATATAAGGCAACGCGGTTTGGAAATCTAGCGGTGTGGAAAGCGCGGCCAGGTTGGTAAAGCAAACCCCGCGCTCTCCGCCCGCCGTCAAACAGATAAACAAATACATAAACAACATATATTGCGGGCCGTTTCTTTCAGTACTAAGCTCGAAAGACAACAGGGCAGTTCTAGGAGAGAGTTCGATTACTGTCACGGTACTAAATGCCGGGAAAATGTAGCCTAAGAGAGACTGGAGGGAAAGGGAGAAACTATCTGGAAGCACTTATCCTTTAAAAACAGAAAAGCCTAGTTTTTTTGGGTTTTTTTTTTTTTAACTGCCTACAGCTATTGAGGAACAAAAGGAAAAAAAAAAAAACCACTTTAAAAATCCCGATTGAATGTAATATCAACCCCCTGAAGTTCTCGGTGCTCCACGGACGCCTTTCGAGGTTTTCCCCTCAGCTTCTCTCTCGTAACCAAGAACTGGAGTTACTGTTTAAAGGTTATCTTATTTAGGAAGGGGAAAACACTCCAGTGCCCGGAAAAGTTTTCACAAGCTCTGCCTTTAAATCCAACCCAGGAGCCAAAAACGCGCCGCGTGCGCAGCTTACCTCCGCTCGACCAGAAACGAACTGAACACACACTTTCCCAGTGCACTCCGAAGAGGGGGAAGCTAGGGACTGTAAACAAACGGCTGAGCCAGAGCTTAAAAAAAAAAATCAATCAAGGGACCGGAGTCAATTTCACAAGATTAAATGAAAAGCGTTCTTGGAGGGAACAAGCTGCTCATGGGTAAACTCTCCTAGTCCAGGGTGGTCTCAGGGAAATCACGGCAAAGGGGCGTTTGGGGAACCAGACCGATCCTTTGCTAATGGTAGTACAGGACAGCACAGAAATTAAGAACTGTTGGCTTGGAGAGAGGTTCCAGGAGACTTGCCAGTGGACAGAAGTGTCTCCTTATCGAAACAACGGTGACGCCCCGTCTGCAATCAATAATTGCAGGACACCTGTGTAATTATCTACCTTTGAGCAAAGCACAGCTATTCAGAAATTGGCAATAATTTGCTTTTATTTATTTAATCATATTTATATAGCCACCCATCTCACATAAAAATGACTCTGGGTGGTATTCAACACTTAATTAAAAACAATAAATACATTAAAAACAGTCACAATTAAAAAATAACTATAAAAAGCACACAAAACAAAAGAGGACGACATTAACCACAGAAAGGGAGCCATTGCAAAATTTCCCTGGTCCCCTGGGACCCCCAGGCCTGATCACATAGCCAGCTCGAGGGACTTGCGGAATGTTGAGAGGGATGGAGCTAATCTCACTAATGGGGGGGTGTGAAGATTCCACAAGGCGGACGCCACCGCAGAGAAGGCCCGCCTGCTGGGACCCTCCAAATGTAATTCTCTGGCAGACAGGATCCGCAGCATGCCTCTTCTGCCAGACCTGATGGGGCAGGCAGATGTAATCCGGAAGAGGTGGTCCCTCAGCCCCATGCCATGAAGGGCTTTAAAGGTCAAAACCAACACCTGGAATTGGACCCGGAACCAAACCGGCAACCAATGCAGCTCGTGGAGCAGAGGTGTAATGTGTACTGCTCTAGGGGCACATGTAACTGTCCGCGTTGCTGCATTTTGCAGAGCTGAAGCTTCCCGATTCTCATCAAGGGTAGCCCCATGTACAGCACATTACAGAAATCCAAATGGGAGTGACTAGGGCATGATTGACAGTGAGCAGAGCCCCAACCCCCCATCTAGGAATGGGCACAACTGGTGCACAATACAAAGCTGTGCAAAGGCCCTCCTAGCTATAACTGCCACCTGCTCTTCAAGCAGGAGTTGAGAGTCCAGGAGGATCCCCAGATTGTGCACCGAGTTTGTCTGAGGCAGTGCAACCCCATCCAGCACCAAAGATGGCAGAGTCCTGGAACCAGAAAGTCCCAAAACCCAAAGCCACTCAGTCTTGCCAGGGTTCAGCTGAAGCCTGTTATTCCCCATCCAGACCCTCATAGCCTCCAGGCACTGGGATAAGACATTCACAACATTGCTTAATTCGCCAGGGGCAAAGATGTATAACTGGGTATCATCAGCATACTGATGATACCTCACCCCATGGTGATGGACGAGCTCACCCAGCAGCCTCATGTAGATGTTAAATGAGAGGGGGAAGAGTACCAAACCCTGCAGCACCCCACATAACAGGAGCCGAGGGCGGGATCTCTCCTCCCCAGCCACTACTGACTAGAATCAGCCCTGGAGGAAGGAGGTGAACCAGCATAACACCGTGCTGCCCACTCCCGATCCTCTGAGCTGAACCAGGAGAATATCATGGTTGATAGTATCAAAAGCCGCAGAGAGGTCAAGCAGGGCAAGGATGGATGCCCAACTCCCATTCTGCTCTTGCCAGAGATCATCCAAAAGCGCAACCAATGCTGTTTCCATCCCATACCCAGGCCTGAATCCCGACTGAAAGGGATCTAGATAATCTGCTTCATTCAAGGTCCTCTGAAACTGCTGTGCAACCACCTTCTCAATCACCTTCCCTAAAAAAAGGAGGTTAGATACTGGACAGAAATTGTCCAGTATAGTGGGGTCCAGGGATGTTTCTTGACAGGGTGAACCAAAGCCTCTTTAAGGGGTGAAGCAACAACCCCTTCACTCAAGGAAGCATTAACCATTGCCAGAACTCACTTTACCAGCCAGGAGGAGCATAAATCTAAAGAGCTGGTGGCTGAACTCACAGCCCTAAAGACCCTGTCCACTTCCTCAGGTCCAACAGGTTCAAACGGTTCCCAGATAACAGGGCAAGACTCCTCCCCAGGCATCTCCACCAGACCTGCAATAAAGCCAGCATCCAGCTGAGAACGAATACTTTAGGGCATGTTTACTTTATATGGTCATTTATGCTTATTTATAATAATATTTATATAAATAAATAACATTTATATTATAAGAATATTTATATGGTCATTTATGATTATTTGCACCCAAATTTTATCAAAATTCTTAGGTGTTATATTGTATCTATTGATATCTATCTTATCCCTGCTTCCTAGCTGTTATGGGGAAAAATACTGGCTGGCTGGCATGGACTATTAGGAGCCATAAGCATACTTCCCATTCCTAAGTCATAGGTGTCCATTACAGCCACAGTTACATCAACATGGTGACATCTGCATCATGTTACTGTGCAAATGTCTCAATTATATAATTTGCATCAATCACATCACTCATGTTGCATCACTTGCACAATGATGTGATGATGGCACAGTCCTGGAACCAGAAGGCTCCAAAATTATTATTTGCTGTCTCTTTTCCCTTCTGCTAACACCCATGTCTTGGGTCATCCATCACTTATCATGTAGCTATGCACCACCCATAATTTCTCAGACTTACCACTCTCATAAGGGTGTTATGAGGGAAAAATAAGTAAGGAGGCAGGAGAATCATTATGTCTCAAACCCTTTGGAGGAAAAGGAAGATACATACAGTGCATTCGGAAAGTATTCAGACTCCCTTCACTTTTTTCAATTTTGTTATGTTGCAGCTTGATACTACAAGAGGCAGGAGAATCATTATGTCTCAAACCCTTTGGAGGAAAAGGAAGATACATACAGTGCATTCGGAAAGTATTCAGACTCCCTTCACTTTTTTCAATTTTGTTATGTTGCAGCTTGATACTACAATTGTTCAAATTCATGTTTTTTCTCATTAATCTACACTCAGTACCCCATTATGACAAAGTGAAAACAGAATTTTAGAAATGTCTGTACATTTATTAAAAATACAAAACTGAAATATCACATGTACTTAAGTATTCAGACCTTTTACTCAGTACTTTGTTGAAGCATCTTTGGCAGCAATTACACCGAGTCTTTTTCGGTATGACGTGACAAGCTTGGCACACCTGGATTGGGAGATTTTCTGACATTCTTCTTTGCAAATCCTCTCAAGCTCAATTAGGTTAGATGGGGACCATTGGTGGACAGCCATTGTCAGGTCTCTCCATAGATGTTAAATAAGGTTCAAGTCAGGACTCCGGCTGGGCCACTCTAGGACATTCACAGAGTTGTCCCTAAGCCATTCCTATGTTGTCTTGGC